TTTGTGTTGAATGAGGAGGAGCCGTCGTATTAGTACATGGCATGTCAAGTCACAGAGGTGAGGTCACAGAGGTGAGATCATGGAGGTGAAGTCATGGAGTGGTGATGGTCCGGGGGGGGGGATGGAAGGACATGCGATGAACTCGACCAAAAGAGAGCAATTCATCAATTGTAAAACTAAAACAAAAATGCTACCGATACCACCGATACCACACCCCTTGACCTGCAACTTGGACTCCGCTTTCCCCTGGTGGTGACTCTGGTGAGACTTGGGGTTGTTGGAGTCTTCCAGTTAGTTGGAGAGTCGGAGAAGGGCCCACTCGCCCGAACCGAGGCAACTCCCGAATCCCGATTGAGAACAACGACAACCCCGGCTGAGCACTTCCGCCCACCAGCAAAAAAGGGACGGCCCTCGGACCAAACGGTTGACGCTACCCATCCCCATCCTCGACTGCATGGCCAACGGCTAATATCGCCGAGATTCCCACCTTTAACTTGTCTGCGCTCCCCTTTCCTCCTCGACGCGCGCGCATTCCAACCAAGACCGCGACACACTCTCGACCACTACAATCCCCGGACCCCAATCTCCATCACTACCACCCCCCGACCCCGCTTCCCCGAAGCGACAGACACGTACGAGTCGACCTCGGCACGCCTCCAAGTTCCAACAAAAACCTCCCCCCGTCCAACCCTCCCCTTCCACCCTCCAACAACAACCACCACCGCAACCATGACAACCGCCACCCCCTCCACCTCCGAACCCGGCCCCGGCCCCTCCCCGGCGCCCATCGCCTCCCTCCCCTCTGGCGCGCCCATCCCCGCGCCGTCTCCATCCCCCCCGGCCACCACCGCAAAGCCCATCCCCCTGCGCGCCGTCCTCTCCGCGCTCCCCTCCAACGCCGACGCCTTCCTCGCCCGCCTCAACAAATGCCTCTCCACCCCCTCGGGCATCGACACCGTCATGCTCTTCCTCTGCTACACCTCGCGCCTCTCCGCCTCGGTCCTCACCGGCCTGTCGACCTCCGTCCTCCGCCGCTCGGCGCGCGAGTGGATCACCCTGCTCCTGTCCACCAAGGCCGGCACCGCCACAGTGGTGACACCCGCGGCGCCCATCGCCACGGCGGCGGCCGCCAAGGCATTGGTGGTTGCGGCGCGGCTGCGCGCGCTCTCGACGCTGCTGAGCGAGGCGCGGACGATCCTGCGGCTGTGGGCGCTGGTGGGGATGTATTTCTGGGGCAAGGGGCTTGTCGTCAAGGCCCTCACCCCGACCAAGGAAGGCGAGGAGAAGCAGGGAACCAAAACGGCGACGTTCCTCGAGTGGGCGCGGCTGCTCTGCTGCGTGGGCCTGCAAGGGCTGGAGAACGGCGCGTACCTGTCGCAGCGCGGGGTGATGGGGTGGACGCCGAAGCAGCAGGGCTTGGCGTACAAGTGGAGCGCGCGGTTCTGGGCGGCGTACATTGGCATCGAGCTGGGGCGGTTGCTGGCGGAGACGACGAGGCCGGCGGTCAAGGCCGAGGGCGCCCAGGAGGAGACGGTCGAGTGGAGGAAGAAGGTGGCGCGGAATATGGCGTGGATGCCGCTGACGCTGCACTGGAGCACGGATGCCGGGTTCGTGAGCGAGCCGGTGATTGGGGCGCTGGCGAGCGTGCCGGGGATTATTCAGATGAGGGATCTTTGGGCTAGTACCAAGTAGAGGGGGGGGTTGTGTACGATTTGGGATCGAAGGGGGGGGCTGGGTGGGGGGTGGTTCAGCGTTCTTGTTATATCTTCTTGTTGCTTTTGCCTTTGCGAGAGCGGGTCGTTTACCAGACATCTCTGGCAGTCCATGTCTCTACAGTTACATAAGCCATATATCTTTATTTACACTCGGTTGCATTACGGTCGACATGAGATGGTGTTGCGGATAGTCGGTGCCATTGTATCTCAACCTGGACAACGATGACAGAGTACCTAGGTCGTCGAGGGCGAGATGTGACAGGTACAAAGACCAAACGGGCAAAGCAAAAAAAAAACACACCTGAAAAGAACCCCCCCTCTTGCCTCAAGAGAGGATCACAAAAAGCTCACCCTCAGCCCCTATAGTATGGAGGCTGGGGGCTACGAAAACCCCAGTTGGCTAGGGGTTTTGCTCCGCCGGTAGGTTGAACTCGCGGCCTGTGTCGGTGGGCTTATGGTTGTTCAAGGGAGGATCGAGTCCGCACCCCTCCGCTCTATACCACTCGGCCATCGGGCCATGGTGGTAGTCTCGGATTCGGAGGGGCTGGTGACAGGACCTCCGGGGCTGGGGGCTATATAGTCCCGGCTGTCCCAAGAAGGCATATCACGTCGAGCACGAGGTATGAGTTTGGTATCTTTGATTTGGTCGTCTCTCGCCGCCGCTTTTATGGCTTTTGGCCGACTACCACAAGGTAGGTAGGTATTATACAAATACCCATTATGCTATCCTATCATGCTCTCATATTCCATCCATACATGCCAACCAAATCCCATCCGTGGTATCAACCCGCACCATGCTGCCCATTGCAAACAGCAACTCCCACAGCCATTACTCTCCAAATACCCCATCACCCCCCCAACTACCTCACAACCAACAACCCCACCGCCGCCGCGGCAACAAACAACCCCCACCCCCCAACCTCTACCCCCCTCCCCGCCCCCCCTCGACTAACCGCATCAAACGGACTCCCCCCCCCGCTGGAATCCGAATCCCTCGTCGGCTGCCCCCGCCCCCCACCCGTCGACGTCTCCGTCGGCCTCTGCGCCGGCCTCTCCGACTGCACAAACGTCGGCGTCGGCTGCACCGGCGGCGGCGGCAAATCACTCGCCAGCGGCGTCCCAGCCGCAGGCGGCGGCGGCGGCGGCGGTCGCGAGCGTGCTGTTTCCAGCGCCGTGGTTAGAGAACTAATCCCAAAGGAAGAAGAACGGGGAGGGGAGGCAGTGCTAAGCGTGACGGTAGTCGCCACGACAGGAGGCAATCTCGTACTTGGTTCTGCTCCGCTGCGCGAGGGACACAGCAGCGGGACCAGGTTCCCGCGCAGCGCCTGGCCGAGGACCGAGGCGGCCGAGGCGTCGACGCCGTCGCACACGTCGACGACGCGCGCCTGCACGTCGGCTATGCCGGCGACGCAGGCGGGCGAGCAGGCGTTGCCCGAGGTGAAGTCGCGGGTGGAGCAGCCGGCGAGGGTGGACGAGTAGACGATCAGGCAGGCGATGGGGGTGCCGGAGGAGGTGATGAGTTGGAAGCTGGAGAGGGTCAGGGCCGAGGCGGTGGTGGCCAGGTAGAGGAGGCCCGCGGCGTGGGCGGCCCACCGGTGTGGACTTGTCATGGGAGGAGGATGTGGCGATGCCGGCGCCGTTGATGATGCTGGGAGTGGTCGAGGAGGAGGAGGCCCGGTTGCTGCTGCTGACGAACGACGGTCTTCCAAGTCGGGTCGGGTCGGTCTCGTGGGTGGTGGCCGGTGGACTGGCCAGTCTTTCCGTGATCCGTACACGTGTGCACCGGGATGGGCGCGGATCAGGGGCTTGCAGCGGGATGGGATTCAGAGGCCGCGGGGTTCGTTCGTGGGAGAGAATACGGCCTTGCCGAGCAACCCGAAACGGGGTGCGTCTCAGAGGTCCGCGGCGGCGGGCGGCCGGAGTGTGCGAGCGATGATGATGTTCGGTGGTGATGCAAGAAGAGGGTGTTCACTTCAACCAGCTTGGTTCATGCCTTGAGGTTGGTGTGGGCTGACCAGGCGGGTTGGTGGTGATGGGCGTCGTGATCGTCTGAAGGACCACGTCTTTCTCCGGGGAGCGAGGGGGGAGGCGAACCAGGTAGGAAACCAGGGAGGATACGATATATGAAGAATAGTAGCGACAGAGCTCTGGTGCGTTTGACGTCGTCCGCCGGGAACTGTCGACGGGGGTGGGAATCGAATCAAGAGGCGACAAGTGTGTCGCGGGTCTCGGAGAGAGTGGCCGGCAAACAACAAACAGATCCGACCAGTCGAAGGAGAACAAGAAGCGAAGAGAAGCACAGCTTCTGGGTGACTGACGGAGAGACGCTCTTCCAGAAGAGAGGAGTGAGCAAACGAAACAACAAACGGAGGGAGGGTGGTAGGAAAAGATGTTGGACGAGACGATATATTCCCCCTCCCCCTACCTCCCTTCCTCCCCCCTACCCGGGCATGGCAACCCAACCCACCGACACCGACACCGACAAACGCCGCCAGGGGCAGCCTCCAGCCACATGTCTTTTTTGCCTGTTCCCAGGTCAAGACATTTCCCCCGAACCCCTGGACGAGACTGTTCCCCTTCCCCAACAGTTCGTCCTCTTCCCACCCCATCCATCCCATCAGCGACAAGAAGAAAAAAAGTGACAGGCGCACCGAGACAGACCAGTCAGGACCCAGCACCAAAATGTTTCCAGCCGGCGTGTTTCATGGCTGGCGGCCAATGCCATGCCCCTCTCCCCCTCTCCCCCTTGGTCAAATCGTGTTGGACAGAGGCAGGTGCGCGGGTTGGAAACGAAACAGACCAGGTGTTTGAGGAGACCCGTGCAGAACCCCTTGGCCGCCCTCTGATTGGCCTGTGTTGGGGGTCGCCCCACCATCTTCCCCTGTCCTGCTGGAAGCAGCCGTTGAGCCGCACGGGCCAGGCCTGTCTCGGTCTGACAACCCGAACCCTCCTCGATGTCGACATCATTGATCGTTCAGATCGAGATGTGCAACTGCAACCCGATGGTGAGACCAGATGGGGACCACAAGGTCGGCCAGAGGTGTTGCTGCTGTCATAGCTATCATTGGAGGGAACCCAGCTGATCTTTTCTCAACGCCAAAGACACGGATGGAAGCATGAACTCGACCCACACACCCACATCCAACATGGACCCAAATATTTCCAATCCACCCCATCTAATTCCCGGCCCGGTGGTCAAGTGGTAGAACATGTTCAACTACTCGACCCCGACCCAGGAACCAACCCCCACCCTCCACCACTACGGTGAATGCTTACATTCACACATCTTCCGTAGTATAGTGGTCAGTATGTGAGCTTGTCAATCTTCCACTCCTTCTTCCGAGAAGTTGTTTGGTTCTGATAACGCTCGAGACCCGGGTTCAATTCCCGGCGGGAGAGTCATCAGGGTGCGGCGGTTTTTTTTTGCATGTATTTTTGCCATATGATAGAAACTGCAGATGGTATCTTGATCAGCCCCAACCGCTTCGTATGTATATATAAATACAGCCCGTCCATATCGTCTTGTGCTCCATCCCATGCGCCGTGTGTTATTACAACAAACCACCCCATCCAGTACCTACTCAAACATGTCCCCGTAGTATCCCAGAAAGCCAAAAAACCACCATCAACACCTCTTCTGCATCTCCTCCCCCCCAAACTCCTCCCACTCCTCCCACCCTCCCTCCCCTCCCACCTTCCGCCCAACCCAAATCCCCACCGCCGTCCCCCCAGCACTGACCAAAAACCACCCCTCAAACCACCGCTCCACAAACCCCGGCTCCAACGCACTCTCCAACACCCCCCCGACCCCCCTCCCCACCTCCCTCGGCAAGCTACTCCTCAACAACAACGCCGCGCCCACCACATACGTCGCCGCGATCTGCCCCACAATCAGCGCGACATTCGCCTGCGCGGCCGCCAGCACCGCGCGCGGCACCCAGCGCCCAAACAGCCGCACCGTCTGCAGCACCGAGTTGGCGCTGGCCGCGAGGATGACCCCGCTGAGCAGGAACGAGATCTGCCGCGCCCAGGCCGTCTGGTCGAGGTCCGGCAGCCAGTGGCGCGCGAGCAGGCCGAGGACGCGGTTGATGGGGTCCGACGACGAGAACGTCGCGAGCGGGTAGTACGCGCGGCGGGCCGTGGTGAGCGTCGTGGCGAGGACGCGGTAGACGCAGTAGAGCGCGAAGAGCGAGTTCGGGAGGGCGAGGAGCCGGCCGAGGGCGGTGCCGTCGCGGGCGTGCGCGGCCTGGCGGGCGCGCAGGGCGGAGAGGGACGTCGCGAGGTTGGATTCCATTGTTTCGAGGCCCGAGATTTCAATGTGCAGGTCGCGCATCTCGGCCGTGTCGCCCGTGACGCCGCCGGTGAGGGTCTTGAAGGAGCCGAGCATCTTGCCGACGAGGCCGGTGCTGCCGGCGGCGGGTTGGGTTTCGGCGGCTTTTTTCTGCAGAGTCCACAGCCGATGGCGTTTGGTAGCCAGCAGCTCCGTCGCTGCCTCCAGCCCGCCTTGCTTCCGCGTGATATCCGCATCAGTGACAGGCCGCCGTTTATACGACCTCCTATCCGCAAACGTATGCCACGGACTCGACACGCTCGCGAACCCAGACAGCAACGCCATCAGCCAGATCCCAAACACTCCCACCCTCTCCAGACACGCCCGCGCCAGGCCCCCCTCCGCCTTGTCATCATCCCCGCCCTCGGGCGCAGGCAACGCCCTCCCCAACCCCACCCAAAACACCACCAACCACCCCGCCAGCAACGCCGCCAGCACCCCCCACGACTTTTTCGGCACCCTCCCCTTCCCCGTCCGCTGAAAACTCCACCCCATCCCCCCGGCCACCACGCTCTGCAGCTCCAGCGCCGGCACCACCACCACCACAAGCACCAGCAGCCCAGGCACCGTAGCGCGCAGCGCGACGGCGCGCGCCCGCGCCCCGACCGCCCCCGAGATCTCGGCGAGTACCAGCTCGGCCAGCACGGCGGCCAGCCCGACGGTGGCGCCGAACGAGGCGGCGGCGAGGCGGCGGCGCGGGGAGCGCGCGGCGCGGGACTCGTGGGCGGTGCGCAGGGCGGGGGGCGCCGAGGGCGGGAGGACGACGTGGTCGTCGCCGCCGCTGCCGGGCGGGGGCGCGAGGCGGGGGAAGACGCGGGTGGCGAAGAGGGTGGCGACGAGGAGGAAGGTCGCGAGGAACGGGGTGAGGGCGAGGAGGGACGAGGGCGGGACGGGCGGGCCGCAGAGGGAGGTGCAGCTACCGGCGGCGGCGCCGGGCTGGGTGGGGGGAGGCATGTTTGGGTGTTGTTGGTGGAGGTGGTGAGGAAGCGGAGGTCGTGGCTCCCGGGTGGGGGAGCCGGGGCATCATACGGTGGTCAGTTCGGTTCGATCGGTCGGTCGGCCGGTCGGTGCGATCGGTATTCGGATGTTCTAGACTACATGGGCGTTGTCGGACGAGATGGCGGGAGGTCGGGTCTGCCCGAGGTAGAATCGAGGTTTGGGTTGTCGCGTGGTGGCTGGATCAGACTGAGGAGCGAGGATTCGGGTGAGACGGTTTGTTCCAGACAGCGACGTGTTTGTGGGACTCGAGGGGAAACGGGCGGTGACAGGGTGTATGCGTTCGTCTTGACTTGATTGCTCTGCCGTTGCTCTGCCGTCGAGAAAGAGGATGCAAGGTCCACGTTTATTGACGTCGTGGTGGTTCAGGGGATGACGAAGTGCGCTAAGCCCACCTGGAAGCTCAAGGCTGCACCCCTGCAGCCCCACGTCCCGTCACCCGTCCCCGGATTTTGAGGCTCGGCATCTGCTCCATTCACCCCTGAGCGTCCACTGTCACCCTGCACAACCATCAATCACGTCAATCCCAGGAATAGTATCAAAATACGGATAATTGATATCATCGCTGCATGTTGAGCAGAGCTACCCTTCCATTCCCCGCCCAATTCCTCTAGATACATAACCCCGCCCAACGACACCCACTCCTCTCCCCATTACCCCGGCGCTGTCATAATTCTGTACAGTTTAGTCATGTACTCTGTATTCACTGCGCTCTCCGGTCCCGGACCCAGGCTGTGTACTTTAAAGGATAGTACCGGCCTCATCGCTGCCAAACCATGTGCGCCTCATGTGCCAGCTTCGTGAGAATCCCCTGTGATGGGTCCCTCGTCTTCATCCGATGCCCCCTAGCGCCGCCCCATCTCTCGCCACACTCGCCAGGGAACGACCAACAGGGCCGCCACTCGACACGGACCGAGATTTCAGTCGACAATGTCGCTGATATCTGAATCATCCAGTTGAGCCTCTTTGCTCTTCGATACGCGGACGAGATGGCGCATCTCCTTCCAATCAGACCACCGCCTCTTGGCATGCTCCTTGATGTTCCCTGCTTGCTTCTAGTTTTTCGGTTTTGTTGTCGTCGAGGTTTCTTGGGCGTCGTCGTCATCGTCGTCGTCCTCCGGCTCGTTATGCCCCGACTTGAGCAGCGCCTTGGCTTCTCCCACCTCCATGTCGTGCAGACGACGCTTCTGCTCCCGCTCCATCTGCGCTTGCTTCTCCTTGTTGGCATCGACCTGCTTTGCAGACACGGGCTCGGCTTCAAACTCGTCGTCATCGTCGCCACTATCGTCGTCACCACTGTCGTTTGTCGCCGAGCGCGCCGAGGGCGAAATCGCCCTCCTAGCCAGAGGAGAGTGCATGTTGGGAGCCGGCGAGCTCCGCCGAGAATTGGCCGGGGAGCTGCGCCGAGAACTGTTGATGTTGAAGGGCTTGATCGTTGGGTCGAACCTCGCTGGCAACCCAATGGCAGCCGCGACCCGATGCGCCTCCTCGTCCGGAGAGATGCGGCTCTCGAGCTCAAAGAGGCCGGAGTTCCTAGTGTCCGCCTCATGTTTTCCGCCGTTGTGCTGCAACATCTGGGCGTAGCTTTGTCTGCTGGGGTCCTGCGTCCGCTTCGACTTTTTCTTGAGCCGCTTCTCGTCGGGGCGGACCACTACCACCGGTACTGGGCTGTACTGCAAACAGTACTTGGAAAACGAGCTCCGCGTGTTGACGAAAGCCTGGATTCCGCCAAGGGAACGTCCCTTGGTGCCCACTATGAGCATCGACGGCTGGTACATTTGGAGCTGTTTCACGGCGTCAGCATACGAACAGTGGGTCTTGGGGCGAAGCAACATACCAGCTGTTGAAAGGTTGCGTGGAGCTTCCCGACAGAATATTCCAGGACAATGCTGATAGCCTTGTTAAGCTCGTTCTTGGCCACAATGTGGTGCAGAAGCTTCTCAGCGTCGGCCCGGTAGTTCTTTTCGCCAGACCGGGGGGCGTTCTCCATCACATGAACGCATATGACCTCGTCTCCATCATCCACCATGTTGTTGAGCAGCCAGGCAAGCGCATGGTCCGAGTAGGAATGCTCGTCCACTCCAACCATGAAGATCCTGGACCGTCTCGAGGACTGGTACCCTTGGTGCTTGACGTGGAGCGTGAGAGATAACGTATTTTGTTTGGTGGCCTCGCCGGCAGGGAGGTTGTCGAACCCCACATGCTGCTTGAACCTTTCAGGAGGGGATTGTGTTAGCAGAGCCATGTCAAAATAGTTGTGAAAAGCCGCGTTCCAGGCGCAGTTGGATTGATAGAAGAACGAGGGCTGCGGTATATAGGAACTGTGGAAATAGAAGCGCAACAACGGCCACTCGTCCACTGCGCGAATAACAAAAAGGCAGGCCCGCAAATAGCCGACTGGAGCTTTCCAACGACGTAGGTATACGAGGGTAAACAAGGCCGTGGGTGTGCATGCGCCTTGTCGTCTCGATATAGACAGCACCCAGCAGCTCAGACCCGAGTGAGGGGGCGGGGCAGCAACCCTGGCATGGGTGGGAGTACTCCGGGAACCGCCATGCTAACGATATTCGGCTGGGGTGAGGATGACATGTTGGTGGGTTGTCTCGGTGGGGTCGCCAAACTCCGGCGACGGTCTAGGCGAATGATGTTGTCCCGGATCGGACAGAGGCGGCTCTGCGGTTGCGATGACGCAGATTAAAAGGGCTCGCCGAGAGTTTTCCTTTACCCGCTGCAGGGCGGTCTGGCGCGGGACGGGTCCCTTTTTTCGGATGTACTTGTTCGGGTCGGCCAAAACGGAGCTGGCATTGGCACTTGGACCGTAGGCTTCGCCCGAGCATGTCGAAGCCGGATCGTTGTCTCGTAGCCCAGCGGTTGCGTTCCCCGGACGATACCATGTCGACATGACCTCATATGGCTGTAGCGCACCCGGTTGCCCTGCCCTCTTCCACCCATTTCGCCGTCGGAGCAACGCGCAGTGCTGACAACACGCCCAGAAAAACACACAAGCTAACATTGGCAACAGGACATATCCCGGTTGCCATCGAGCACCACTTGGGCCAGCTTGGGGAAGGGC